GCTGGCTTGGGGGCAGCCTCCCCATTCTGCTGCCTCTGATAGAGAGGCAGTAGGATGGGGTGAGGAGGCAGGTGGAGGCAGTACTCGTGGGAAGCTGGCTTTTAAGACGGCTCCCACCACGCACTGGCCTCTGCCTGTCCCCCATCCCTGATGCCTCCATGAGAGTCAGTGGGGGGAGAAGGCGGAGGTGGCTCCACGGGTGCCAATATGCATGGGGAGCCAGCACATCCCAACTGCGCACTGCAGCTTTGCATCACCACTACCTCTGCATACCCCCTCTCCCCCTCCGCATTGTTGGCCACTGGATACCTGGCGAGTGGGGATCCAGCCTGCAGCGGGACCCACCAGTACTGATGAGAGGAGTTAGAACAGTTAGCCTATTTTAAAGAAAAAGTTGGGACACTTGCAGGAGGGCTTTAATATAGGGCAGTCCCTTTAAAAATGGGACATCTGGTCACTGTACATATGCTCATGCCTCTGGCATAACTTGCAAGTACCCTCCACTCTTGAGCACTTCTGGGGGGACAGTCCCAGTGAATATTTCACAGTGAATTTTGCTGGTTTGCCCTTTGCCTCTTTGAAAAAGGCTACTCTCAGCCTCTTAGCAACCTGCCTCAATGTAATGTAATCCAGAGTCAGAACAGCCTAAATGGGATACAGAGGGGATTACTATCCAGTTTCTCACCCTCTCCTCCCAACCTCTGTAATACCACAGAACTGCCTCCAGCACTTAAACAAAACTTCAAAACCAACAAGGGAGCATAATTCAAATCCAGCCTCCCTCCTCAGCCTTCCAAACAACATATATATCAGAGAGTCATCCAATGCCCTCTTCACAGCCAGCCCACTCACCATCTCTGAGGGAGCCATGGCCAGGGAGAACATGGAGATGGAGAACAATGGAGAAATGCGAGATAGTAATCCATGAATACTATCTGAGCCAGAACATTCTCTTACAAACATGTTTCTGATAGGCCATGTCCCATAATTTGGGACCCAGTTATGTTCTTCAATCCCTGGCCAATATTGACTACTGGGACCAGCAATGCTCTCTTGCCATACCCATGCAGCACTTGTTCCAAAGGTCATTACTTTCTCTAGTCCAACATCTGTCCACTGAGAACAGTGGCTTCTGGGAGCCCAGCACTTTTGGGCCCTGCAACAAAAATGAAAATTCTGAGCCACAGCACTCAACCTCAGAACCCCCACATATAAGAAGAGGCAGAGGGAAGAGTTATACATGCCTGTATCTTTAAAAGTTCCCTTCATCTCTTGTTATTTTTGCACTGTTGCATTTTCAGTTGTTTTGCATTATTTAAAGGTTTGCTTTTTGTTGCTTAGTCAGATTGTTTTGGTAAATGTATTTTCAAACAAAAAGCTACTGTTAGTTATCCATCAGTTCAATTCAAATCTTATTTTTGATTTTGTAATTGTTTTATAATAAAACAGTTTCTAATCCATTTTAGTCCATTAATAATTCATCACTGCATGTAACATGCTCTTTTAAAAAAAAGCTAAAATAAATTCATCCGGTTTTACAAACTAATGCAGACAATGTCCCACTTTCACCAACCATAAACAATATGGTCTATCCCCATCTTCCTCTCCACAGATTAGCACGTTCATATTTTGACCTGTGTTGAATAACAGGCATATCAGATAATATTCCTCAGGGTGTAAGCCAGGGATGGGCAATAAAACCGTGGCAGTTCACCACGATTGCTATATTTACCTGTGCCTCCGCAATTACGGAAGATCTCTTTTCCCATTGGTAACAGCAACCTGTGGCCAACGGGAGCTGAGATCCCCTGAACCTCCGGAGGTGCAGGTAAATATTGTGGTGTGGGGGCCTGCCAGGGGCTAATCCTGGCAGGGAGATCCAGCCCGTAGGTCGGTATTTTTCCCACCCCTGGTGTAAGCATTCTCTATGGGATACCTTGCTGGTTGCTCAAATTAACAAGTCTCTGTGCCCACCCACCCACCCATTTGTTAAGGCTTTCTCCCTTAGTTTCACAAATATTAGGCAGAACACAGAACACAGCTATAATGGTGGGGATTTTTTTTCTGTTGCTTTCAAATGAGCCATCTGCTTTTCAACAGACAAATGCGCACTCAACCACCATTCTGCAGCTATTCGGACAATAGTTAAAATGTTCCTTCTTTCTGTCCCAGCAGTCTGTTAATGGCTTCATTAACCAGGGAATCAGAGGATAAGTGTGTCTTCCAGAGTACTGGACCACCCTACACACCATTAATGTCCAGAGTGGGAACTGGGGCAAACAGTTCTTCTCTATTAATTTCAATAAAATTGAGTACCAAAAAACCGATACACTATGGACCCTTCCAAACCGCCCAACTTTTATGTTTGTAAGTCTCTTATACTGGACAGCCAGTCTCTGGAGCACAATACCCTTTTCTAGTTCTACATTCCCTGCCATGATCCTAGGGAGCAGAAGGAAGGGGGAATAATAAGCACATGGGTGCCATCAATTGCCTCAATACAGTTTTGTAATTTTATACATACTAAACCAGCAATAATCTGCTTAGTGTTACTCATCTTTACAATCTAGCTAGACAATACCTTTCTCTACTACAACTGCAGCTCCAGGGCCAGTTATGCACAGATCTTAAAAAAAGATGATCCTGAAATTTTCTCACGACTGCTAGTCACCCCAAGTTTACAAAACATTCCTCATCCGCCTATCCATACTGATTTGCTGGGCCTAGAAACAGTACTATACATAGTTTAGCTGAGTCAGGAACAGTCTTTTAGTTCTACCAGCTTGGTATCCTTGTTCTGCTGCAACACCTTTGCAATATTCTGCTGTTTCTGTTAGATGATCCTGAAATTTTCTCACGACTGCTAGTCACCCCAAGTTTACAAAACATTCCTCATCCGCCTATCCATACTGATTTGCTGGGCCTAGAAACAGTACTATACATAGTTTAGCTGAGTCAGGAACAGTCTTTTAGTTCTACCAGCTTGGTATCCTTGTTCTGCTGCAACACCTTTGCAATATTCTGCTGTTTCTGTT